AATTTTCCTTTCCCTAAGAATATTTTAAGGTGTTAACTTTTTCTGGAAATTTCTACCATATAATGATAAATATATGAAATTTAAAATGAATATTCTCGCAGTTTACGTTTGACCAATGAGTACTTTTCATATCTTTTTAGAGAAAAAATAGCGGCTATGTATCAAACTACTATTATGTTTTATCGCTTTAAAGCGAATCTAGTAATTGATATATATTTGCTTCAAAATAACAGTTGAAATATTTGCAAGTAGACTGATTGAATGAAAATGAACTAGTTTGAGTGTCGCCAATAATTAGTGTCCATCTTAACTTTGCGGAAGTATATATACACGAGTAATGCGATCGACAGAGTTGCTATAAAACTTTTGCACAATCATATCTACACTCAATTTCTGGAAAAGAAGCGCCTTTTCGTGATAGGCCGTTTTTGACAATGTCTTCGCTGTTCTTCTAATATTAGAATCATCCTTATTCTATAATTTGGGACTTTGCAATTTTCTAATGTGAACGATTGTTTTGACGCATTCTTATGATCGATTTTCTATCTGCTATCACTTCTTGATGTCGAAATTGTAACTATCGAACGCACAACTTATTTTAATTTTACTACTAATCAATAATTTCATCTACGACCTTTTTTCAGTTCAATTCAAGGACAACAGACATGATGATTCGATCGTTGCAACAGCAGACGTGGGTGTTCATAGATTATGACATCATATGTATTTGCACAAGGTCTGATTCTGCCTCTTCAGGGTAAAAACGGGTATTCGAGTTGTATCAACAACGGCTCCTGTCCTTACTGACCGTGATAAGAATGTTGATCTTAGCGATCCTAAGCAGATGGCATTGCACAAACTCTATAGACCCGAACGAGTCACACCATCTAAAAGGGGTGTTGAATTGTTGAAAACACCGCGATTGAACAAGGTAAGCTAAAGTTAAAATTAGTTAGACCTTAGCTCTTAAAGGAACCTTGATTGTAGAACTTCATAAGCAGAAAAGTTCAATCACGTTTAGGGTATGGCCTTCTCGCTTTACGAGCGGCAATATCTCGGCATTCATGGCCTTTTGCCACCAGCATTCATGACCGAAGAACAACAAGCTTATCGAGTTA